TCATAACAAACAGAAGGACAATCAACCTATAGGTACAAATAATGACAAGTTTTGATAACAATCAATTGAATTCAATGTCAAAATAACAAAGTGTTAATCACTACCCGAAGTTTGTGCTGTTGATGTCGTTCAGAAGGACGATGAAAGCTCCACGACCAAACCATCTAGCTCAGAGAACAAACCTACATCAAAAACGTCGTCAGCTCACTTCTATTTAAAATTTACTATGCTGATATTGTCTAAAGTTATAAGGAAAGCATCACAGTTAAACAAATCAGTTTCAGGAATAAAAATTCATTAAGCTACATATAATCTCTGTCATCTCACAAAACAATCTAGATTCATTAAGTTGTAGGCAAGATCTTTATCATCAAATCTGTTTGATTATAAATAGATGGGATCAACCAAATTTTTTCTTTAAATCGATCTCATATTTAACCTTAAACGTCTGTTTAATTTACCAGCTTAAATATTTTCATTATAAAAAAATGTTTTTCCATCATCTTCTTCGTCTTCATCCTTGTCAATCATAGAAGGATAGGATAATATAAGCATGATGAAGTATACACACAGTTAATTTTATGTAAAATGTGTACCCTATTCATACGTGACTCTTTTAATGATAACAAAAATATTAACTAATTGTAAATGAATTATTTAACAGCATAATTTTAAAACTGAAGGTGACGAAAATAGTAGGAATAGAAAACAATTATGAAGAAGTCCAGAAAAGTTAGCTGGACGAAACGTTGGAATTATTTAAATTTCAATCGCTGAGACTATTTCAAATATAATTTTTTCACATATAATTATGAATAATGTATCTGAAGTAGCTGTAGTAGTAGTAGTGGTAGCGGTGTTAGTAGTTATCTGATTGTTCCATTGATTATATTTAACCTAGATTAAACTTAATCCTAATTTAAGTCATTTTCTTATATCTAGATATGTGTTTGTGAGTGTGCTATGTGTATGAGTACATGCGACCTCGTAGGATTATCATCACGCGGTCATGAATAATCAGGATAATCATTCAACCGACATATATATATATATATATGCCTCTAGAGTATTATACTAATTACATAGTGAACCCACTTTATTTTCTGTCCATTTTTCCAACTGCTAACAAGTGTTTTTGTATATTAAAGCAGAAAAATAAACATATTGAAGTAAGGAAACAAAATACTTAACTGATTATGTACAATTCCATCATTTATTTTGAAAAAAATGTCTTAGCATAAAAGCTTTATAAGTTTACACCATTGACTGGTTTGACATTGTCAGAGATGTTGGCTATTGTATTCTAATTCAGTGTTCAGAACGTAACATTCATGATAAGCGGTACTATTGCAATTGTACGGAAGTGAACAAACTAGTGGGAGAGGCGAAGAGATTTCTTGGGATCTCTGTCTTTGAATGATTGTTTAGATGAAAATAGTTCACTATGTAAGATGTCAAATTTACAATTTACTATGTTTCACTTATTCAATTTAATTAGTCTGTAAAAGAATTTATAAACATTGACTTTGTCCACTAATTTTTCCTTCTAATGTACGCTTCTAATAAAAATATGCAATGACATAACTGGAAATAATAATACCAGTAGTGTATAGAGATGAAACATTTAGTTACACAAAACCTGTTCTTCTTGGTTTATTAAGAAAAATAAAAAGGGAATAATTGCATGGTAACAATTTGACTTTTATTTTAATTTTGTATACATATAATCACATGAATATACAATTACAATGGATTCTGATCATTTTTTTTTCATTTGATCATTACAGTATAACAACTAAGGTGTTTCATCAAATGTAAGATCATTATATTTATGGTTATTATGTTTACAATAGTAAATATATTATTCTCTCACTCACCATTAACTCCATCAAAATATCACAGATGATTACACTTTTTTACATGATAATAATTTAATATCATTGAGTTACTGTAAAGTATTAAAATTATTTCACTATCTTTGTAAGCAAAGATGGATAGTGACTAGTAGTGGAATTCAGGATGCGCGTTTCGTCCTATTTGGTACTTGTCAGCTGAATGTACCTGCATCTCAGAGTTGATGTTCACTCTGGGATTCAAACCCAGTACCGTTCGCTTAAAACACCATCGCGTTAACCATTCAGTCACTGATTCCTAATATCCAGTTGCTTGTGCAATGAGGTTTTAGTGTGACAATTTTATTTATTAATCTAATTAATTTCTAATCGAATTTTTTTATTCTTCTAATAATGTTTTTATAATTTGCATAATTGAAAGCATAAGTCAATTGAAGGTAGACCATCAAGGAAAACCTAGAAACACTGGACGGCCGTTTCGTCCTATTGTGAAACTTCTCAGCAGTGCGTATTCACGATCTCGTTTCGCGAGATTCGAACCCAGGACCTACCATTCTCGCGCCAGAGCATTTAATCGGTAGACCACCGAGCCGGCATCCGTTAGTGTTAATGTGTAGCTGGTAGGTCCTGGGTTTGAATCTCGCGTGGATGTGCACTGCGCAGGAGTCTCACAATAGGACGAAACGGCCTTCCAGTGCTTCCAAGTTTTCCTTGATGGTCTACCTTCAATTGACTCATGCCTTCAAGCATGCACATACTGAAATCTCCACAAAACCCCTTGTGTTTGTATAATTCCCGTTTCAAACTTTTAAATGTTTAATTAGTTTCAAGGTTAAATATCCAATTGTTCTATCATTAAATTCTATAAAATACGTATGATACTTATTTGTCAGTCATTCCTGATTTCCTTCATCCTTAGAGTAACGTAGTTCTTTTTCTATTAAATAGACATAATGTTATATGTGTATCTATCCATATACCTACGAGTATATTATTAAGATATAGATGCGTGTTTTTAGGCAAATGTCTCTTTATGAATGACAGTTAACTATTTTCAACAGTTGTTTTATCATTGGACTGAATGTTTTCAATCGAAAATTGGAAAAGAAATTTGAATGTCACGTTCTTTTTTTTTAAAAAAAATAACTCTGAAATTATATTCATATATTTATTCAATATTCTTAAAGTTTTCTTCTTATAATGTCTAGAATATATAGATATATGTCATTAGACAGATGCCAGTGCATACCTATCCATGGGATTAGGCATTAAAACGTTAAGTCCAATAGACTAGTTTAAGCTCCTCGAGGGGGGGAAGGGGGAGGGGATAAATATAATTAATCCATTATATATATATATATATAATGAAACATATGAAAAAGAAGTAAAGATTTGAATGAGTAAATAGAATATAGACAAAAATAATAATAATTTTGTTGTCAAATGAATAAACTTTCAAAATATCATTGATACTGTCAACTAAATTTTACTTAAGGAAAAACAGGCTTTATTTATCTACATTGAGCTATTGTTATTATACTTATCAATAATGATATTATGTCTATGGAAACAAATAGTAATCATTTGAATGATCTTATAATATGACAGTAACGATATGTATATAGATCGATATAAATGAATTCTTATCCAGTTTTCATAATGTTTAAACACTCTTGGAAATTTCGACTTAAAAGAATTTTAGTTTAACAGAATCATGAAAAAATTTTAAAGCAATGGATAAATATGTGTTGTTTAAGTATCAATATCATGGTTGGACTTGAAAGTTTCAAATAGATTGATTATTGTTTCAATTATTTATTTGCTCTGAAGAAGTTTATTAAATTAAGTCACGAAACGTCAGAAATACAGTTATCTAGTCATTGAGATATAACAAAAAAATATTTATTATTATTAATATATGTGTTTTGTTCCAATTCATAATGAAAATAATATCAAGACTCCCTACTGGTTATTTATATTGAATTAATTGTATCTAAAGAAAAGCTATCAGAAAGAAGAATGGTTAGCAGAGATGGATAGTGGCTAGCAGTGTAATCCAGGACGCGCGTTTAGTCCTATTTGGGACTCGTCAGCTGGATGTACCTGCATCTCAGAGTTGATGTTCACTCTGGGACTCGAACCCAGTACCCTCGCTTCAAACGCCATCGCGTTATGCACTCGCCCACTGAGTCGAGGCAATACACACAGTATGCACATATGCCAATTAGAGACTGACCAGTTGCAGTCCTAACAAATCGATGGGAAGATTCAAACAAACAATACTAAGTTGAATTTAGAAAGAAGAATATTTTTTTCAACCAAATTTCATCAAGTTCCATAGTTTAAAAATACAAATTATCATTCCAAAGTGATAGGCATGTTTAAAGCCTTTACATCTTTTAAAAATGATAGTGTATGAATTTAAGTTTTTGAGATAGTGGAAAAGATTTGTAGCTCAGGTTAAAGCTCAACAATATATAATCAAGATTGAGGTCTACAGGAAAAGTTATTAGCCATGTATGAAGAAATTCGAACACTTCACACTTCTATCTAAAGTTTGTGCTGATAATCTTATTCAGAATAACGATAAAAGCTCCACGATGAAATTATCCAGCTCAGGGAACAAAACTTTGCCGAATTTAGGATTGTTGGTAAAATAAATAAAAATTTGATAATATTAAGATGACTATTACTTAGTGTTAACCTGAATAAGATTGTAGGTCTATTGAAGTCCAGAGATAAATAGTCTACATAAACAAAGATTACATAGAAAGTGACGGAAATAATCAGGTAATTTACAATTCAGATCAGATTTTTGCTTACAGGTTACTTATAATATAAAACGATATATATTTAGTGAGAAATATACAAGTGATATGAGTGCTAATTGATAAAATTTTATTATATATTTTAAATACTACTAATAGTGATAATACAAAGATTTGTGGTTAATAATAATACGATAGATTTCTATTATGCAAAAGCAATCAGGAAAGTTGTATTCACTTTATTCAGATGACATCATTTTAATAATCATAATGACTATAAAATGATTGATCCTGGAAAGGGGCACTACATTTATCAATTACCATTGAAGTTTAATCATTACTATTGATTGTCTTTTCTGTGACTTTTATTTTATTTAAGGTTAATTTGGACTCAAAGACTCGTTTGCAAACTGAAGCCGATTTATCGAATCCAACAGTGAATACATTAGAAAATGCTCAAAAACGTATACAAGCATTAATGGAAAAAGATTCATATAGACGTTTTCTACGTTCTGAAGTTTATTTAACAATGTTAAAAGAAGCTAGAGAAACAGCTAAAGCGGCAGCTACAGCTGCATTAGCAGCATCACTTCAAGAAGCTAGTGATGAATTAGATGAACCAGTATTTCAATTAGTACATTCAACTACATATACATCACCATTTTCATTTTTAAGTACATTTAGTAGTACATTTAGTGCACAGAATACACCAAGTTTAACATTACCTGGAGTAGCAGCCGCTGCAGCTAAAGCTGATGCTGGTTTAAATAATATTCAAGATTTACAATTATTAGGTTTATCTACATCAAGGCATATGCGTGAAAATAAACAAAATCATTCAATTGCAAATCGATTTATCACTAACACTAATACTAGTACTAATCTCACTCCTACTTCTTCTATAGCTTCATCTTCAAATGAAATTATTTCGGAATCTATACAAAGTAATATCACTTGTTGTGAAACAGGATTTACATCAACTACATTTACAACACATACTACTATTTCTAGTCATACTTATTCTACTCATAATGTAGCCGATAGTAATGACATCTGTGATATTACTAATAATGTAAATACATATTTAAATACTGAAATGAGTAATTCTACAAAATAAATTTATGTTATGATTACGTAATAAACAAAGAAACTATTCATTCATTAAATAACAACACACATAATACAGTAATCATAAAGAAACCAATTAAACCATATACAGATATATAAAACAGATCCAATATATATATGAGAATGTCAAGTATTGCTTATTTCAGTTTATATTCTTCCTGTTTCATTATTTCAATGATTGTTATGATTATTATTATTAATATTAATGGTATTACTGTTATTTTTCCACTATATTCAACCATAAGCTAAGCTAAATTGTCATTACATTTTTGTATCATCTTTAGTATCCGACTCTTAGTTAAACTATCACTATCTCTATCTAATATATATATGATGAACACTGAATAAACAATTGAAAGTGTAACCAATTTAGGTTAGAAATGTTACTGAAACCATCAATGTTTTTTTTAAATAACAAGAGGATTGGAAATCCGAAACATTGAACTTGATTTCTTTTTCCCCGTTCACTTTATCCCTCTTTCTTTACTTTGTGTTAAAGTTTTATTTTCAAAAAAAAGAGAAAAATGGTAAACGAAAACAAGAGTAGCTATTTCTTCATAAGATTTAGATTTTGTTTAATTTTCTTGATGATTGTCCCACCATCTTTTTTTGTGATATTCTTTTCATTTTTTTTTGTTTTGTTTTCTTCCTCCCTCCCATCACTGATTTCTTTTTCTCTTTCAATTTTTTAATTTGTATTTTGTTTCTATCCCTTTTGTTTATATATTCATGAAAATTTCATCATGTAGTGTACACAGGTTAAGATTTTGTAATTTTCGCCCTTGTTTTTTTTCTTTTTAGGAGAATACATTACAAATTTTTTTCCTTTTTTCTTTTGCTTTTGACAATAACAATGAAAAACGGTAAGAGTTTCCATTTTGTTTGCTTGAATTGATGCGGAAAATTTAAAATAAACTAACACAAAAAATCAATAAACTCAACTAATGACAATAATTATCTTTTCTATGTACAGATATACAGTATATGATAAACGCTCATATGAACAAAATGGTATATATATATATATCTATGCAATGTATCCATGACATTATTCATTGCATAAAACAATTAATACATTTTTCTGAATATCATATCTCTTTTTCCTTCATCAATACGTACATATATATATATATATGTATATATGTTCTGTGCATAGTTAAAAATAGATGAGTATTTTATGATAGATTTAGGTTTCGACTAAAAATTGAGCCTATTGACAGTCACAAAATTAAAGTCACCAAATTAATTTTGTCTGATTTAACTTAGTTTAGGTTAATGATAATAGAAATTGATAAAAGTTTGATTATATAAGGTAAATTGAAAGTTTATATATTTTTCCGATGTTTTTAATACTTAACATGTCTATTGACAATTCGTTGTTGAATTCGTCTGAATTCAGACATGTACACCATTGAGCGGTAACTTGGTAGTATTCAAGGTTAATAGCTCTCTGAAATGACTGTTAGCCACGAATTCGACCATTTGTTTGATCATAGATGAGTAATGATGAGAAACTCTGTATAAGGCTGAAGTAACTGTCCAGTGCTTCCTGATCCCCAATAGTTGTTTAACTAGAGTCAGTTCGTAACAGAAAAGCTCAAATCTCTATCTATTTTTTATCGAAAACTCCCACCGAATCACTATTAAAGCACATATTAAGTAGTCATTAAAATATCTATTCAAATATAACATATTTATTTAGTAATTTTTTAAAATAAAATTTTCAGTAATCAAGGTTCAAGCCTAAAAGATAGAATAATTTTTATTTAAACGAGCACTGAACGCCCGTTTCGTCCTGATGTGGGACTCCTCGGTAGTGCGCATCCACGATACCGCCCCCTGAGGTTCGGACCCAGGACATATCGGTCTTTCGCGCGAACCACTGAAAAGGGATCCAACGCTGTTATTGTCTAACTTTAACCAATTATATAAAATGAAATATGACATTGTATTACTTCCATGATAACTACATTGGTTTGTTTTACTTATACCATCTATGGGATTTCAAATGTGTGTGAGACAAGTAACTTATTGAAAATACTTTATTTATTAAAAAGTTTCCTTATTCATATGGTGAGAATACTTTTATTAATTAGATTCATAAGCCCAGTCTATTCACCTAGTTGTACAGTTGATAGATATGCCGGAATAAGGAGTATTCTATCATTAATAATTCAACTTATTTTCTAGTTCTATTATCTAATTAGACTGTTGTAAATAGTCTTCGTTCAGAAAATGAACTATACATTGGTGATAAGGTAGTGTAATGTTAATTTTCAGGCGATTTTGTTCCAGTTAAATGTTTTTAATTGAACGATCGTAGTTGTAAATAAGTAATCAAATTACCACACTAAATATGTTTACCTAATTTGATTTTTTATATATATTCAATGTTAACTATTCAAATTAAACAGTTAATGGCCAAATACTTTTGAGTAAAATTTTAGTTTATATTATGATAACTATGATCTAATGTAGTTAGAAATTGATAGATGTGACATCAGCTGATTTGAGGATGAATGAAATTATATTGTATCTTGAACTAATGAAAGTTGATTAACATAACAGACTTGTTCGTTCGATCATGTGCAGCCTGATAATGCAAGAAAAAATAAACATAAGCTCTTATTATCAGAAGGGGGTTTTGTGGAGATTTTAGTAATTTTATGTAGTTGAGGTCATGCATCAATTGAAGCTAGACCACCATGCGAAACCGGTCGTCCAGTTCTTCTAGGTTTTCTATAGTGGTCTAGCTTCAATTGACTCATGATCTCAACTATATAAACGCTATTATTATTAAGATAACATTATATGAGTAATGCATAAAAACATGTGAAGATTACAAATTGATCAGTCACAAATAATCGAAAACTTTGTATACGTTTCTATCAGTACAAGCTGTTATATCAACACAGAGAGAGTTAGTAAAAAATAAAAAAATGAAAGAAGTCGGAATAATAATCTATTACAATAGGTTTCAAATAATACTATATAGGTTAAATCTTTTCTTGCTTTCTTCAAACTTACTTTCGTACTATTTAATTTAGTTCACAGCCCTGTTTATTATCTCTGGAAAATGTTATAAACTTAAGTTTAGCTTTGCTCACTCACTAGCCCCATGATAGACTGGTAGAACTTTTAAAAATACATTAAGCGAATAATCGTTAGACATGTTTGTCAGTCATGAGTAATTAAAAGACAAAGCCCAATGTTAAGAGCTCAGTCATGATAAGCACTAAAATGGATGATTTGATTTTCATATGGTACAGTGTTTTAAATAAAAAAGAATATTGAGGCTGTACTGAGCATTCTTTAGCCAACAACCGACTAAGTCCGATAGAACATTCAATAATTGTGAAGTGGCCTAATGCTCATCTGCATTCAATCCTATCAGATTAAGTGCTGAATGAAATCTTACTTGATGTAACAATGTATATCTTGGACAATAAAAACTACTGCTGACGTTCTGACGTAGTTATTATACCAGTTCATAACATCTAGAATTATGTCTACATCTTCAAAGAACAGATTTGTGCAAAATGTATACTCTTGAGTTGATGACAAAGTATCAGATAAAAGATCGTTCTACCAAAAATAATGACATTTGGAAGCAAATCCGTAATATAAAATTGCAAGAAAGGTAAATTAACAGAAATGTTAAAAAGAAACTCTGATCCGAAGAAGACAATAGTATAATAACAGTTTTATAGATGACAGAAATTCGGACATCACTTTCGTTTATGTGATTAAATGTTGAATCACTTTGTAAACTTCAGTTCTTGTGACCAAATAAGTCTAACTACTATATTTGTCTTTGCAGTTGTCATAAAAAGATCCCTTTTGTTTTCTAATACAGTCAAACGATCACAGATCAAGAAGAATTCCTTATTCAATTAAACCTTAACTAATTGTGTTTCAATCAGCCATAATAGGGTATAGGTAGAGTAATATAATTGAAGATATTCAACTGAACAGCTATTCATCTCTAATCCTTCATTCTCCATTTGTTTATGTTGAAGATCCTATAAGTCGTCAACTTTTTTAGTTTTCTTTAGAGTTCATACACAGAATTTCGTATTATTTATTTATTTAAACACATAAATATAGGTACAAAGGGGTACCAGATATATATGCGCCGCACAAATTTGATTTGTGTGAGGTCTGTGATACTGCCCAAGTGCACAAGCTGAAACAGGTGATTTTCTTAAGGAGCCACACCTCGAGCCTTTGACCTACAGATCTGATCCACAAGTCAGTGGAGTATCGTAAGGAGATGCAGTCCAATGGTAGCCGGTGACCAATGATTGATTTATACGCCATTTGTTCCCTCGGGATACTGAAGCCCATGTGCACCATCGGTTTAGAATCAGGGTTTTCCAACTCCACTATATGGACGTTCCGTGTCCACCAACCCGGTTAGAGTGCCGGACATTCATTTTTCGTCCTCTCAATTTCGTAAATAATACCCCCGCCATGAGAAAGCAGTGAGTAGGGCTTCTCTTGCAGAGGTTATATATGCGTGGCCATGTGAGAGCATTTCGAGAAGGAGAGTGAACTCTCCTTAATTTTGGCATTTGGAGGCATATTTCATATTCCACTTATCCAAATCAAATTATTTTAAAATTTGTAACATAAAATTAAATTAAAACTGTATTATTTTACAATTTCAATAAAGAAAAAAACTAAACAAAATAAAATAAAAAAATGTTACAAAAAATAAATGGAACATAATTAAATAGTAAATTTCATTAGTTATCTAAAATCTCAATTATCTACAATATTACCCCTTTTTGTCCCGGTGATATTTTCCCCTATTCAAATAAGTATGAAGTGACAAAAAAAAATTAAATTAACAATGAAAAAAAAATAATGTGAATGTGTATTATTATTATTATTGAAGAATAAGTTCATGTACATATACACCCACACAGATACATTACTCTATCTTCATATATACATAGAGATTGAATAACAAAAAGGTGAAATGCTAGATAACAGATGAGTTCTTTATATATTATTACTAGTTTTAGAATGGGGGTTTGGTTGAGATTGTAGTAATTTTTAATAGTTGACTTCATGAGTCGATTGATACTAGACCACCATTGAAAACTTAGTATGAAGAGTCCCATACTAGGATGAAATGACCATCTAGTACTTACAGGTTTTTAAAAGTGGTGTGGTGTTGTCTACTTATATCTATATAAGTAGTATATGGTGTGGGTCAGACATAGAATGTATTTTGGCAGAAGACCGATGACGAAAGAACTGAAATGAATCGCAATCGCTTGGAAAATGCATGGGCAATGGAATAAGAGAAGAAACAGTGAAGATCGAAACAATTGGTTGTTAATTTGCAAATTGACTGTTCATTGTTTGGTTATCAGAATTTACTGAGATAGTCTGTAATCTTTGGTTAAATACATTCGATTGTCCCCAACTAGTGTTTTGTTCACTACAGTGGTCTAACATAGATCGTCTTATGAATTCAACTAGTAAACATTCACTAGTTTTGTAAAATAACACAGTAATAAACTTAGAGATTTATTGGAAATTAAATGAAATTAGTTGTCAAGGTAATCTCAAACCAATGAGGTAAGTGTATGAGTTTATCAATAAGTTCTTGGATAGTGAACGATTGTTTCGTAATTTCTGAGAGGACATCACAGTATAGTGTTAAAAACCTAGAGATACTTAGTGTTTAGACAAAATCTGTGAAACTAGGGTATACTTTATTTCATAATTATTTACATGAATCATAATTGTACGTCGAAAAACAATTTTCAGCATTCGTTTCTCTTCACAGATCATAAAATGACACTATGTTAGATAGATAGCTGAAGTTGAATAACAAACAAGCATTTCACTCACAACTGAGGCTTCGGAGCAATTATCAATAAGATTTGTTTTTAAAGAATGAACTCTAAGGATCATCGGAGTCAGTGAAGGCATTTTTTAAAATAATCGATTCACAAGTGATCACAAAGAAGACTAAATCAGTTGAGCAGACCAATTAATGAATAAGCATCAGTATAATACTGATTTATCATGTCTAACTAAATACTTTATGTGTACGAATGACTTTTAAGCGTTGT